GTTCGGGTGAACTCTTCCTTTAACCTCAGGTTACTCTTGGAGGGATGAATCTGTTATTTGAACTCTCTATAAAATGATCCGCTGAATAGCATCTCTGTTGTTTTTCAGGTACACAATGGCAGCTCAAGACCTGGTGATGAAGGCCAGAGGTGTCCTGAGGGACCGAGGCTGGAGAATCGCTGGAGACCGGCTCGGCTCTGGAGATGACATCTCGGTCTTCATAATTCCCCTAATGCACGGCATAAAACAGCCTCCGCCAAGCTGACCAATCAGAATGCAGGGCGCCAACCGAATCGGACCGAATCCGTCCCTGACCCAACATTCAGATGCTCAGACAGCGTCCTGCTGGAGTTTATGGATCCCGCTGTGCGTTTGAACTCATTTACAATACGAACACTTGCTTTTTTAAGAGTTAGAAGTTGACAAATGCTGACTTTGAAGACCCACGTCAACGTTCCCTAACTCCGCGTGGGTTGGTGGGATCAGTATATAAGTTATAACTTTGCACAATGACTAAAGTTGAGTCCGGTTCTTTGGAGTTCTCCGTGGACAGATGCGCAGCATCCGCAGTTTGTTTATCCGCACACATCTGGCAGCTAGGCGGAACCAACCGTGTTTTGCTTTTTCTTTCAGGATATTAATTTATCCTCTGAATGTTTAGTTTGCGGTTTTCTTTTTTGCATTCCCTGAAAAAAAAAATCAAAGCAATTCTGGCTGTTATTTGTACATCCTGTTTTCAAATGACTCCAAGTTACTGTAAATTATAATGTATTTGTTTCCCCTGTGCTCTGTAAATTTGCAATAGGTACTAAGCTAAATAATGCCGATCTGATCTTCCATTCATCACGGTAAGATTTTTGGGATGATGCATTTTTAAGGAACAATAAATCGCGTATCCGACAAATAAGTCTTGTGTATGCCGACCATTCCCTTTGATTTCGATACACACCGTCATGAATTAACACCTACCTGCAATCTGTTCTCCAGGGCTTCTGAGGTTCGGTGAGGTCTGACTTACGATACATCATGTTCACAGTGGCACCTTCCTCTTCTACAGCACAAACCCGCTGTGAGCATTTGGAAAGGCTTTCATATACACACACACACACACATATACACACACACACATACACACACACACACACACACACACACTCCCCAAGAGAGTGGCCATCTGGTCAGCACAACCTGAGTGTGACCAAAACAAGACTAATTTGGCCAGAGATTCAGTGTGTGTGTGTGTGTGTGTGTGTGTGTGTGTGTGTGTGGACTGCTCTCTAACACACTTTAGCGTAGTCGTTTGTGTGGGTGGATGGCACTGCAAGGGCATCACATGCTTACTAAAGGAGCTTTCTGGGAAGTGCACACACATGCACTGCAAACATGATTCATAAACTGTTTATGTGGCTCCATTAATGCTGGCCCACAGATTTGAATAAAAACTCATTGAAGACAGTATCTTTCTAAAATAACAGTAATAATTACATATGTTTTCCCGAATTATGTACTCTCTATGTAAAAAACAAAAATACCAGACAGTTGTTAAAATAATAAAGACATAATTCACACCAAATTGAACATTTTGTCTCTATTTATTTGACTGTTATTCGTTGAAAATCTTCCCGCGCCGCGCCTTCAAATCTCATTCGCGCGTCTGAAAATTCAAATATTTGGCGCGAATGAAACAACTGCCGTGAAGGATAGAGGCAGACTTTATGTTGATCGCTGAATCATATAAAACACCGAAACTGCTTAATTGTTTGTAGCAAAACTTAAATGTAAGCTTAAGACAGTGAATGGACTATCAGTTTCATTCACATCAAATACATATGGTGTCCATCTTGACTAGGTTCTGTCATATTTTGTCTTTATTATTATTTTTTGGAATGGATAAACATCTAGTTGAAGAAAGAAACTCATACAGGTTTGGAACGACTTTAGGTAAGTGAATGATTTTCATGTTTGGATTGAATTTACCCTTTAAGATATTACACTGCTGATATAACACTTCATTTACATCCTCTGTGAATGAAACCGTGCTGGGAGCAGAAGTAAGTGAACTCAGTCTTTTAGTCTCATGTTGTTGGGAGTGTGCTGAAGTTCAAATATTTGACAAATGGATGGATTAACCACCAGGACCAGCCAACAGCTGTGATAATATCCCCAGCAGAGAGAGACCACAGAGTTTGATAGACCATGTAGGCTACCGATTGAATCTTATGCAGTTGAAGTTGAACCTGGGTTCAAACATGAACATCTATAAAAAACGCACTTGAGATTCTGAACATGACAGGCGTTTCATCTCTGGCTCGTGAACCTGGTTGGAAGAGAAATACTCTGAACGATTCTCTCGGAGTTACATGAGATGCTTCCAGCCTACGTACTGCGTGAATGACGTCAGCACGTTATCACGTACTTCCGCTATAAAACCCAGTTAACTGTGTGTGACCACCGCCTACAACACACAGCCTACACCAGATCAACAAATTGCACCGTAAATAAGATGTTCCAAATGAAATATAATAACATTAAGATTGGTCTGTTTATCTTCTCATTAACATTATTTTTATAAGATATGGGCACATCCCTTCTGAGATGAAACTGGAATGGATTCAGATCAAGAAAATGCATGTACAATACACCCACATACTCATATTTCTAAGTTATAGACAGCATGGTTTAATGGAGGTCTTCAGGGTTAAACGAGGCTAAACCCTTTTATGACATCAGACCACGTCATTCCATATCCCACATTAGCTGCACCTTTTCTACAACGATTAAATGTAATCATTAACCTAGGTACATGAAATATTAATTTTCCACGCACGTGCGCTGGTCGAGTCCAAACCAGCTCAGGTAACGTCGTTTCTCACCACGTGACGTCACGATCGATGACTCTACCGTAGTGGGCAGAAAAAGCCACGTCACAGCTCTCTTCATAGCAACAGTAGAGTATGACCTACATGTATTAGCCATCCCAAGGGCAAAACCAAGCGTCTATTAAAATGAATAACCCTACCCGTCGTGTAATATCTGCTTTTCTGCTGTGCTCGCCAAAAAAACAAAACAAAAACTGTACTTTACTGAAGAAAACTGGGGCATATGGCCAATCCCCATGCATTTACAATTCAGCGTCCGGTATAGTGGCAAGAAAGAACAGATCATTAAAACACATGAATAAAAGCAAAAATCAGACGCTTAACACAGCAACGTGTTCCACAGTATACACATTTATTGAATTTAAAGGAGACGTACCATTGAGCACACATTTACACAGCTCTACAACTCTCAGAACAATTTTAACATGCACAACTAGAACTACATCACACATATATACATAAATATTACATAAAAGCATCATATTTCCTCAGAAGATTTGGATTCCAAAGCGAATTCCAGCTTGGGAAGAGTGTAACCAGCACTGGCAAGGGAGTAGCTTGCGCAGTCATCTCCATAACGGGCAATGTCACATCCCAACCAACAGCACAAACTACTACCTCAGCCAGTGCACGGCTGAATCGCTTTCGGAGCCCGTGGGAACGCAGCGAATCCGCATCCGTGTGAACCGCATTCCAAGAATCTGCGCTGAACGCTCCAAAGCGCGCGGAGACTCCGAGCTGAATTGTCGTAGTACTCGTGAGCGGGCTACACTCCCTTCAGCTGCTCCGCCATTGGCTGGGAGCGCAGCCAATGGGGTGCCAGAGGGACACCGCCCACTACACACACACACCCCCGAGTGAGGCCACGCCTCCCGCGGGATTCAGCCAATGGCGCCGTACTGAGCTCACACGAGACTTTGAGCTTTTTTTGAATGAGTTGATTTGATCGCCACTCACTTACCGTAGAGACCTACAATAAGAACAGAATTCCCGAGAGGCTTTGCGTTCTAAGATAGTACGTCAAGTTGGCAAATTAGGTGTTTTATACGAGCTTAATGTTGATAATAAAAACATAATTCAATACAAATACTACATAAAACGGATAGTTCTCGTCCTGGATGCTGATTGGTCAATACAGCGTTCCAGTCGAAATGGCTGCATCCCAAAAACATAAAAACACTGGCTTAGCAGTAGAAATGAACAAGAATGAGAATGCAACTGCAAATCCAAGTGAATTATTTGGATAACGGATCATGCATTTCCATAATACACACTGCTGTTCAAAAGTTTGGGATCGGTAAGATTTGTAATGTCTTTTGAAGAAGTTTCTTCTGCTCATCAAGGCTGCATTTATTTGATCAGAAATACAGAAAAAAAAACAGTAATATTGTAAAATATTATTACTATTTAAAATAATGGTTTTCTATTTTAATATACTTTAAAATATAATTTATTCCTGTGATGCACAGCTGAATTTTCAGCATCATTACTGCAGTCTTCAGTGTCACATGATCTTCAGAAATCAGTGAATATGCGGATTTATTATTAATGTTTTGCTGCCTAATATTTTTTTTTTTGGAACCCGTGATAATTTTTTCAGGATTCTTTGATGAATAAAAAGGGGAAAAGAATAGCATTTATTCAAAATACAAATCTTTTTTAAGGTCAGTAAGTTTTTTTTTCCTTTTCTTTTTTTATTTTTTGAAAGAAAGAAATTAATGCTTTTGTTCAGCAAGGATGTGTTAAATTGAGAACAAGTGATAAAGACTTATATTGTTAGAAAAAAAAATCTATTTTAAATAAATGCTGTTCTTTTTAACTTTATTCATCAAAGAATCCTGAAAAAGTATCACAGGTTCCAACAAATAATATTTTAAAGTATATTAAAATAGAAAACAATTATTTTAAATGGTACTAATATTTTACAATATTACTGTTTTTTCTGTATTTTTGGTCAAATAAATGCAGCCTATCCTGTGATAATTACTGTCTGACTGCATGTTAAACACTTATTTAATGCTTCATGTTCATTCAAAAGAGTGAAATGTTAGAAAGTCATATTTGAACGTATATGAACTACTGACCTGCTCTACTGGAAGTGAAATATGATTCATGAATACGTTTGATGTTCATAGAACTGTACCATTTATTATTGTACACACCCTTCTCAATGCGACTAAAGATGACATGGAATGTTACAGTACGATCTTGCATAAAATCCATTGCTGTTGAGAAAATTTCACAAAAAAAGACCACCCTTCATGTATTTATTATGATTTGTAGTTCTCTCTTATTAAATGATTTTCAATCCAAATAGGTCATTCTTAATTAAATCTTTAACACTATCACCAAACACTGTACATTAACTCCAGGGGGCGGGGGGGGGAGGGGACCAAAAACCCATAAAAACAACAAACACTGCAAATTTAACGTAGCAGTTAATACATCGTTAAAGTCGGCCAATCAGAGTCTACCGTCAGCTCGTATTAGAAGAAGCTTCGAATGATGGGATTGGAGCTGTCAATCAACAGTTACCATGACGATGGGGGTGAATCGTCTTCACGCGTGGCGTATGAAACAGTCACATTCATGTTTGCGGTGGAATAAAAACGTTCAGTCACGATTCGCCGTTCTGCACTTTGGAGACGGGCGGTTGCATGAAGTCTTTAAAGGGCCCCAGGGCGTCTTTGAGGGCGGAGCTTACTTCAGGAGACGAGCAGGTGATGCACTCCACTAGCGTCGGGTAGAGCGCGATCACCTGAGCCCACACGTTCCCATCCACTGACCCCCGGACAGGAAGAGGAAGAGGAGAGAAATGAACATGGATGCAAAACGTGGAACCTGTCAAAAATTCTGTCTAGGTAGGCAATAGAATATTTCACAGTTCCAACAATACTTGTCTTGACATTTATATTTCATGTAAATGCAGAAGTCTGTCATGGTTGCTTTCAAATAATGTTGAAGGACAAACCCATCTCACCGTTCTCTGGTTGAGTCTTTTTCAAGGAATCCATGAGAGTGCTGATGGCTTTTAACACAAAGATGATCTCAGTCACTTGTTGCCTTGAAGATAAAAAATAAATAGTGGGAAACACTTAGAATCAAGTTCTGTGCAGTAAAGTCCACTTAAAAACAGACCGAAAATACAGTGAATTTAGTGAATATGTCCAGCTAATTTTTCATCCCTAAAATATAATAAATTTTATTTGCTTAATAAATTGAAGCCTATTGTTAGAAATAACATTTTTATTAAAATATTAATTTTATTATATTTATATTAATTATTTACATGACATATAACCACACTTCCTCCAAGTTATCACAAAAAAAAATCACAATCATTATTGTAATGCAAAAATATATTTTTTTATATATATATAATATATATAATATATATATATATTTTTTTTTAATTAGTATGTAATAAGATATAATGTATATACTTAATAAATATACACAGTACACACACATATATTATGTAAACAAATACTTTTATTTTGGATGCGATTAATCGCGATTAATCGTTTGACAGCACTAATTTATATAAATAATTTATACAAAATTAATGCAAAATTGCAAAATTAAAAAAAAAATGTGTTTTTACTTAAAAGAAAATATATATATATTTAATGCAAAAATAATTTATTTTATGTCTTTGTTTTTTCGGAAGCTGAAAAACATGAATCTGTTGATATACGCAGACCTGGGCAGTGGGCAGCGTCCACTGAGTCTCTCGTCATTCACGTATCGTCGGAGCACGTCCTGAGCTCTCTGCAGCAGCACTGACAGCGCCATACGGGAGATATAGCCCTCCTGCGGCGTCGACACCTTATTACTGAAGGAGAACTGCAGGAGCGTCTCGAAACACACCTTAGAGAACTCCTCCCGCATACGGATGTCCATTTCAGCCTCTGTATGGGACGAGAAGGCACAGTTAGTGTCTTCATACGCCAGTGGTATTTTCAATTTAACGACCTTAATTTCATCCTGTTCCTCATATGGCTTCAGAAGTATTGGAATATATCGCACAAGTCTTATGGACTACTTTAATAAAGCAATAAGCCTCGTGAAGCCGTGGTTTACAGTGAATTTATAACAGCTAAGGGGTGTTGTTAGGCACGAAGCGAAGCTGTTATAAATTCACTGTAAACCACGGCTTCACGGGGCTTATTGCTTTTATAAAACGGTTATTCCATATACGTAGTAAGGTTTCACAAAATAAAACAGAGCAAATAAAGTGTAATGATATTAATAAAAACATTATTCTTCAGCCAAACAATGTAGTTCCTCAGAAACAGTTGTGGTTGCTACAAAGTGGTTGCCGAGCAACAGACAAACGTAAACAAAGGTGTATGTTTGTAGAGTAATTTACAACAGCTTCGAACGCGGCTCAGCCAATCAGAATCAAGCACCGGAACTCTCTGTTTCATAATGCTGCTTTTATGAACTTGACAGCGTTAGTCTTTGTATGGAAAAGAGCAGCATGAACATTTGGCCTAACATCTTTCGAGCGAGTACATGACAAAATCTTCAACTATTGCTTTAAGAACAGTTTTCACATGCATCAGATGAAGATGGTTGTTTTTCCCCTCTGTTTTCACTCCGTACCTGTGAACGATGATGACTGGGAGTGAATCGATCCTTTATTGAGCATGCTCATGATACGACCTACGAACTCTTTGGGTATGAAATTAGCAAATGGTAAAATCTCTGTGCTGATCAACTGCACCACCTAAAGGAAAAAAAACAATATATATTTAAAATATATTTTATACATTTAATATAAATATAATATTTTAAATATATAACAAATAATATATATATATATATATATATATATATAACATATGCACTGTTAATAGTAACTAATAAACAGCAGTACTTTATTATTATATAAATATATTTTAATATATTTAATATATAATGTATACAATATAGTCAAAATATGTTTTCATTTTCTAATAATATGTATTTATATTTTAGATTGTTTTATGTGTGTATATATAAACATACACACATAATTTTTAACACATAACAAATTCATAACACATACAAACATAATTTTTTGAATATTTAATGTATCATTATCAAAATGTCTCATCATAAAATGTCCAAATATCAGTCTCACAGATATACTGACCTACCACTAATAAATAGTAGTCGTAATAATAATATATCTAGCTTAAATACAGTTTATTAAAAAATAATTAGGCGATGTGGATCTACTGTCAGATGAAATTACCTCGACATCTATAGCTTCATTCCTCTGGAACTCTTGTATGGACCGATTATCTGGAGGTGTGCTGTGGGATGAGAGAGGAAAATGAGTACGAATGACCCTTAAGTCACTGTTTTAATATATCATGATGGGTTGCACACCTTTTGGTAAACAGGAAGTCCTCAAAGGCGTTCGCCAGCTCTGGCCACATTGTGTCAAATTTGCCTGAGGATGCTTGTTGCCGAGCAACAGGGAGTCCAATGGAAAGCACTTTGAGCAGAGAAGAGACGGCTAGTTTCCAGGTGCTCTCTGCAGGACAGGCGTACTTCAGACCCAGAGGAATCTTCAGAGTCTAAATACAGAGAAACGGAGAGGATTGATTCTGCTCGGTGCGCACGAGCTCCTGCACAGATAAGCCAGCTGCTTCGACCGAACGCAGGTGACCCATGGAGACTAAGATGCCCGGAAATGCATCATGTCTCACGAAACTACTAATTCACAACCAGATTACTTACAAATTGTAGTCTGACTACAAGACGGAAATTGTAGTTAGTTGCATAATCTGGATTACACATATTAGGTAATGTAATCTGACTACTTTTAGATTACTAACTCGTTTATCACATAGACTTGAATGTGATTACTGGTCCATGTTGATAAAAAAAAAAAGAGAGAGAGAGCGAAAGAATGAAAATGTATTTCTTTCATTGTTATCAATATCAAGAAATGCATTAAACAATACACACTGGTCTCCCAAACTGGGGTTCGTGAAAATTTCATGAAAAGCTAGCAATTAATTTAATCATAAAAACGACAAAACCGTGGGAATCTCTACATTGCATTAAAAAACTAAACATGAAAACAAGACCAAAGTCTTCCAGGTTTGAAATATGTTTGTCCAGTATTAATAAATAGTGAACGTCACTGGATATGAAGACATAGTATTTCACAGCTTGCACCAGTGTTTAGTAACTTGCATTGTTATTAGTCTTACGTATATAAGAGGTAGGTTCATTTAGAAAGGAAATTAAAATAAATAAGTACTTGGGTGAATCAATAAATTATTAATAATTAACTGCCTTTGTGTGAATGCAATCCATAAAAAAGTAACACTAATCTGACTGAGCGTTTTACGTAATATAATTAATTAAAAATACTTAATTTTTGGAATCTGATTACATAATCCAGATTACATGTAATCAGTTTCTACCCAGCTCTGTTCACAACATACCAAAAAAACAAATGTATATTTATTATTATTATTATATTTGTTGAGGTCAGTCAGTTTTATAAACATTAATCTAAATGATGGTTTTTGCTTTGTACCTTGATGATGTTCTGTAGGACTTTTTCGTTGATGACGGCTTTGTGACCGGCTGTTTTATGATACAGATCGACCAACACCTCCAAAGATCGCTCCGCAAACGGCACGTAGTTTAAGGCCACCCACTCCGCCTGGACACAAACAGGAAAGAAGAGCAAAATAAAGACAGTGAATATAAAAAAAACAATGTATTATTAACCTCAGCCTCAAAGACAAATACATGTAAAATAATATAGCATCATAGAAGGACACTAGTCACCAGGTAGGTTCTCAGTTCAAACCAAAATCTAATTTTTATCCCTACTAACTAAAACGAGCAACAGGACTGGGCTTAAATGCAGCAGATGACTGGAAAAACAGATTTCCACTTCAACACTTTTGTACGGGCCCCCAAACGTTATAGGTTAATGTGGGCTCCAAAGCTCCTTATTGTTGTCTTTTCTGATGTAAATAACATTACAGGACTATTCACAAGCTGTTTTACCGACGGTATGCTTGGAAATAATATTTTTAGTTTTCAAGTCTATTCATCTATACAAGTCTCAATTAACAATTTTAATATAGCACAAATCGTAGCCTTTAAATGCTGTCAATTTTATCACGAAATACAAACAATAAATGTGTTTTTCCGCTCTTTAATGTGGCGTGAGATCGCTGTATTTGCCTCAGTTCAAGCGGCATGTGGATCAATCATCTTTTCTAGCTCCAGCATGAAATAAACATGAATGAATATCAAAAGTTTTGTTTAAACAAAAATCAGAAGACGAATGTCTCATGCAATCGATCAATCGGTGTTTCGAAAATCGTCAATAAAACAGTTTGTGAATAGACATAACAGTCGTACCATAACATTTACATATATGGAATTTTTGCATTCATTAATTTTATTCATGCACGCAATATAACACAATTTTAATCTCGTAATTCTGACTTTATTCTAAAAATATTATGGCACTAAAACGCTGCCATATTTACTAAATTACTTAATGCAAACACACTCTTGGCACAGCGGCCCGAAACACAAAAAGAAAGACAGAAAGACAGAAAGAAAGAAAAAACTCACTCCTCACATTTTAGTTGTAATTAATTAAATTAAATTTAATTCGTTGGGCCTTTTTTAAGGATATTCATCCACAATGTCCTTGGTGTTTAATTTAAGGCTTCGTGTATTCTCAATGGAAAGAATGACTACTTTCGATAGTCTTTTAATAAAAGAGAATTAAAATGAAAGAAAGAATTAAAACGGCAGGTGTTGCTGAAGCTAGATGTGATACAGACTTTTCAACTAGCTAGCTTCCAACCTCACACAGGTGTTTTTAAAAAAAATTTTTTTATTATTAATTATTATTTTATTTGGCCGTGGCAATGCAGCATTTGCATGTAGTTAAAAAAAAAAAATGTACGCAGTTCTACGGCAGCAATATAACAAATGCACACAAGAAATTACCCAGCCCTGCACATGACATGCAGACAAAAAATATATATATATTTATTGTGGCCATGAATATGCACATGCATACCCTGCATACCCACACGCTACGCCCCTGATCTTCACCATGTTACAGGCAAACATTTGTGATATTTAAAAAAAATATATTGTACACTAAATTATTGTTTCATTACATTTTTTGGATGATTTATGCATTCTGAACAGCTGTCACCAAACTCAATAAGTTGTAATGATGCATAAGCAAATTTCATACGGCACACTACTTTTTACACATTACACTGGAAATGGAAGGATAAGTCAAGCACACTGCATTGTGGGATACTGCATTTCATGTATTTCATACTGTACATTTTGATAAATGTAGTAGGTCACTGAAGTATTCTATGCATAAATTGGCATACTATGCACAGTATAAATTCCGCATACTAAAACAATAGTAAGAGTAGTATGGTAGTATGCTATTCAGAAACAGTCTTTATTTCTTGACCATACAATTCAATAACTGTTGGTGGCGCTAGAAAATTGGCATTAAAGAAGTTGAGACTCTCCCCTATGAATGTGTCAAATTTCAAAACTTTTCACGATAAATGTAGTAGGTCACTGAAGTATTCTATGTATAAATTGGCATACTATGCACAGTATAAATTCCGCATACTAAAACAATAGTAAGAGTAGTATGGTAGATGCTATTCATAAACAGTCTTTATTTCTTGACCATACAATTCAATAACTGTTGGTGGCGCTAGAAAATTGGCATTAAAATTGGCATTAAAGAAGTTGAGACTCTCCCCTATGAATGTGTCAAATTTCAAAACTTTTCACCACACGGTTCTAAGAAACTCCATAAAATAACACTATTAATTTGTCGAAGTTTTGTTAGAATTAATGAACAAATGTGGCTGATGGAAATAAATGGAGAAAAACAAATGTTATAACAGTATGAAAGAGCAAAGTTTGTCTTAAAGAGCAGTTAAATGGAGCTGAAATTAGCCGAAGGGAAGAAGGAGGCAGAAAGCAAACGAAAGACAGAGATATAGAGGAAGAAAGCGGGAGGGAGGAAGAACTCACCGGTGCAAACAGTTGGATCTAAAGCGGATCCGTATGAAGTACAAAAACAGAACAAGAGAAGAACAGACAAATGTTTACTACACTGCTGATCACAACCACACAACACACTAATGAAACTACTTATAATGACGACAACAACACAGACGAACAAGCGTTTGGTTTGAAAGTCATGTTTAAATATACTTTGCACCTAAGCCAAAGGATGGGTTAACATTTAAATATTTCACATTTCTACTGGTTTATAGTTTTAACTGGTAAACTGACCCACAAACTAGTTTAAAAAATGTGTGATTAAAACGTTAAATGTTTGAAACCCTAAAATTATTGAATTTTAAAAGAAACATGGTCCAAAGTATTCAAACAATTCTAAAAGAGGCACAAAATGCAACTAAAAGAAAACAGCACTTTGCAAAGAAAGTCATATTTTCTAAAAAAAACTGAAACTACCCAAATATATATGAAAACAAAGAGAAATGTTGTAATCCTAGAACCACATAAAAACTGAAAAGGAAAAAAGACAACGCCATAAAGACATCACTGTAAACACAGCAAAAGAGCATAGACTTCTTTAAACGTGTGCATTCAAAACCATCAGAGCACTCCTGATCTGAAACAAAGATCATCTATTACATCACATCCGAAAAGAATGTTGTATGATGATGATGATGAGTGTATGTATGGTGAGTACACATACAATGATCAAGACAAACAGAACAAAAGCAAACCCATTATCTTAAAAAAAAGGTGAAAAGTGAAGACCATGTGAAGTGGAAACAGGACAGAGACTCACCTGGTTGTATTTGGCATTGGCCACAAGTTTGGTCTCCATCTTCCCATACTGAGGAGGTTTACAGGAGAACTCCACAAACAGCAGGAGCTGCTCAAAGATGGCGGGATACATCACCTGGAGATTCTCCGAACCCACACAAATTGCCTATAACAACGACATACAATCTCATTCAAACATCCAAAAAGAAAGAAAAATCCATGATTTTCAGGGTTGTTTTGGTGTAGATGTCTACTAAGAAGTCTACTTGTCATCAGAGTAGGGCTGGGCGATATGGCAAAAAATTAAGAGCCCAGAGCATTTGACCGATTCTCGATTCTTACGATTTTTAATTAGTCAACTTGAAAATGTAGCCACAACATGATTCAAGTAACTTTTTCTTTATGAACCATCTAGTTAAAGAAAATTCTATTCCAAGTGCACCACACATGATGTAAATGTTAAACAAATCACTTGTTAAATAGCTTTGCAGAAAAGATGCATGAAATACAACTACATCTTGTACAAACTTGTCTTATACAGATTATATGTTCAGAAATAATTCAAGGAAAATACTTTTAAAAAATTCTCAAAAGTCAAGGTAATTCAAATTCAAAATGACTGAAGGTAGGCTATAACACCAATAGACTATTGTTCTGTAAAAACAATGAACAGCAGCTTTCAGCCTGTCACCATGATGCAAACATGAAATTTCAGACACAGTAGTAGTTCTTTACAGGTTTTTATTTGATTGCGCTGCTTTTCCATTGTTTTTTCTATGTAAACATAGACGCGTTTGACTGTTGACATGCATGAAACTGCATTCTAATCACTTAATCACAGGCGCCGACATGCGGTTGGATCATTGTTTTCTCTTTACTGTTATCATTGGCATATTGTCAAAGTGTCTAATTCTAATGTTTGGTAATATTTCTATTCAAAATCGTGATTCCTCCATTTATCAAAAAATAAAATCGTGGCAAAACATTAAATTCGAAAATCTGAAAAATCGCCCAGCCCTACATCAGAGTTTGGTTTGTTTGATTGGTTGGTGGAAATACTAAGAATGGGACTGAATGGATAACTTGTCTACTCATTCAACAACTGGCTAGTGCTTGTGTGGTACAAGCATTAACAATGCAAATATTCTCAAACCATACAACAGCATCAACAAACAAGCATCAAAGTGTGAAAACAACCTCAAATACTGCAACCAAAAACAAAACCCTTGACGGTCCACTTAGAAACGTAACACTTCATTAACCAAAATCCAAAGGTGTTCTACCTTCTGCAGGACATCAAGGGCGGTCAGGACCGCTTCCTGCAGGCTGGTGAGCACCGCTTCCGTGTAGGAGGGCAAGATGAAGGGCGAGGAGTCTGAGCTTATGGGGACCGACACGGCTCCATGCAGAATCACCCCCAGCTTCTTGAGATCCTCCATGCTGAACCCTCCTGCGATGTGCTGGTACAACGCTGGGAAAATCTGTATTAGCGCCGTCAGGAAAGGCTGACTGGGTACGAACACTAGTTTATCTTTTCCACCACTAGGGGGTCGCGTGCACTCGGTTCCTATCCGGTACCAAGTGTTCCACGCTGACCACCAGAGGGCTGAGTCGTCCAGCTCCTCTCCAGGTGGTGGAAGTGAAGGTTGCGCGCCGTAGCGCTGGACTAGTCGCTCGGCAAGGGAATCAGACCGGACTAGGGGTCTTCCTGGCCCAGAACCTTGAAGAGACTCCATAAGGACAGGAGGAACGTCCATAGCTGCGAGAACGTCGAGTTTATCCGTGTCTTTCATGGGCGTGACTAGCTGGAGGATCTCCTGGAAGCTCTTGAGGGCGGCGAGGGAAACCTCATTGTTCTTGCTGAGCGCAGCGGACTGGATGTGGTCCAACAGAACTTCCCAAGCCTTGAAAAAGTCACCTGCAAGCAAGAATACGACTTTCAGAACCAAATTCTGAGATACGTCTTTGAGAACCACATTTCTCAATGCCTACCCAGCTGCTGAAGCAGGTATCTCCTGGTGTTGAAGATCCGAGCTACGCCCGCAAGCGTCAGAACCCATGTTTCTGCCCACTGTTTCTCTGCTGTGTCACGTGAGTGGTGGATGAGGATGTTTCCACCTCCGGATTCGATCTTTTCCTTGTCGGCCGTGGTGGAGGACTTCCTTACACAGTCCAGCAGATGAAAGAGAACCTGCGGAGCAAAGAGTTTTGGTTATTAGTAACAATAAAGCAATTTTAACTGGAACTGGGTTTAATTTGGTCCCCGGTCAAGTCTGAACCAACAAAGCAATTTTAACTGGAACTGGGTTTAATTTGGTCCCAGGTCAAGTCTGATCCAGCAAAACTATTTTAACTAGAACTGGATTTAATTTGGTTCCCGGTAAAGTCTGATCCAACAAAGCCATTTTAACTAGAACTTGATTTAATTCGGTCCCAGGTCAAGTCTGAACCAACAAAGCAATTTTAGCTAGAACTGGGTATATTTTGGTCCCCGGTCAAGTCTGATGCAGTACCTTCCAAACCACAATGTTCCAGGTCGGTGGTTGCAGCAGCGTTCCGTGAGCAGCAATGGTAGAGAACATTGTCTGGCCGGCGCTTTTCCTCACAGCCGGCCGTGGGTCCACGCACAACTCACCCAGCTTGGCATACAGGCACAACCACAGGCAGTCAAAGGGTGGCGCAGGGTGGAAGGGTCGGTTCAGAGGTTCACCTTTATCTTGGGCCTGTTTCAAGAGAACCGCTTCCTCCCTCTCCAGCTCCTCTGTAATAGCTTCTCCCCTTTGGAAGAAGTAGTCTGAGATGTTCCACTGCAGGGAAAAAGGAAGACTCTTGGTCATCCACTAAGTCAACTCATCTATCCCTAAGGAACACTCAAAACCTTCAAGGTAACGCTGACAAACAACACTAGTAGTACTCCTCACCAGCAAGCCGATAGACGTCAGGCTGATGTTCAGCTCCTGGTTCTGGAGCCCAAAGCTGCCAGCTACATCCACCACAATTTGGAGGCACATGCAAGGCATTGTGGGTAGGAAGTCGGTCACCACCAACTGCAGGCACTGGAAGGCTGTTCGTATGAGGGATTCACTGCAGAACGTAAGGTGTGTTGAGTACAAATGAGACACTCCCAAGATCAACACTTCAAATGTGATTGTTAGATGCTAGCTGCTAACTAGATAAATCATGAAGACTTCGCTGGTCAACCAGCCTCAAAAGAAGGACCATGCGGGTTGACCAAGCAACAAACCAACACTAACTTGCGTAACCCAACCTGGACCAATAAGGAAATTCTTGCTTGTCTAAAATGATCTTTCTGCAAGGTCAGGCAGTGTGTCTCACCCCTGGTCATTGCGGATCGCTCCAATGACCCCCAGCACCAGAGGCCATCCCGGTCCGAGACTGTCTCCCTGGTTCTGCAGGATCTGTAGGACACACTCCAGCTGTTTCTGTCGGATATCGGTGTGAAGGACATTGGAGAGCTCCTTCAGAGGGTTCAGAAGCAGCAGCTGCAGCCTCTGAGGAGGACAGGGGATTGGTTGAAGGTGCTGTCCAATCAATAACCAAACTCAAACTCTGCACGAGCACCGATTTCAGATCATCTGATTGAATTTCTACCTGGTTCTGGGACAGCGGTGGCTCGTGTTTAAAGGAGAGTCCAGCTTTGATCAGCGAGGTGATGGCCTCTGCGCCCCACTCCCTCATTCTAGCGTTAGGATGCTGACAGACCTGACAAGATAATGGCACAATAGGCTTTTTACTCAATATATAATATCCTGATTATTAATTATTCTTGACTTTGTAGTGAAATATGACCCGGACACATTTTTGACAGACTTTGTGAGATTCACCCATTAATGAAATCAAACACTGATGGACAAAAAAAACGACATTAACACAAGGAAAAAAGCAATATGTGACCCTGGACCACAAAACCAGTCATAAGGGTCAATTTTTCGAAATTGAGATTTATACACCATCTCAAATCTGAATAAATAAGCGTTCCATTGATGTATGGTTTGTTATGATAAGATAAGATTTGGCCGAGATACAACTATTTGAAAATCTGGAATCCGAGGGTGCAAAAAAATATCAAAATATTGAGAAAAAATCGCCTTTAAAGTTGTCCAAGTGAAGTTCTTAGCAATGCATATTACTAATCAAAAATTAAGTTTTGATATATTTACAGTAGGAAATTTACAAAATATCTTCATGGAACGTGATCTTTACTTAATGTCCTAATGATTTGGTCATAAGAATAAATTATTATGCAAATGAAACCATCAGTTACACACAACATAATTAGGCTGAATTACAAAATATTCATAAACTATACTAGATTTTTTTTAGATCACAAGAGGAGACAATGCTTATTGGATTTTAATTGTGTAGATTGGTGTGTTTAATGGATGTAAAAGTGAAGTTTTTGTGGTAAAGCAGATGATTTAATAATCTCAAAATAATGTGGCCACCTTGAATCACTGTCAAGTCCTTTCACATTATTCGCATTGACATTCCCCAATGCATTAAACTGGTGCAAATAGTCAACTAACAGCCTAACCCAACTATTTAAACTTTGACTCCAATTACTGCTGACTTTCTTAAGTTGTGCAACACACAGCTGAAGATATAAAATAACATTCAGAGAATAATTATCATATAAAATAGTCGTTATGTGATCTGCTGGTCAAAGCAGCACATGACACTTGTGTTGAAGCCCTGATGCGAGTCATGTGAAAGAAACGTAAGTGTGACAGACGAGATCAGCTTGAAAACAAAAACATCTGATTAACACAACAACAGGAGGCTGATTCATTCCTGAACACACTGTGAGAACTTGAAAAGAGACAATTTCATAAAGGATGGTGGATGACAGAGCGATTCAAAAAGAATAGTCAGAAGGACTTCTGAAGCGAAAAAGGAAGTTCAGCACTTACCTTCTACAAAACAGACACGTTGAAAGAGACAGAGAAGGAAAAAAGACGGAAAAAGACAACATGAGGACATGAATCGTGCTTTAGCATTTATACAACTACAGAAGAAGTTTGAGTACAGCAGACAAGGACCAGAAAGATCAGAGCGGGCCGCCAAATATTAAATATTAACATTTCAGAATAGGGCTCGTCTCATTACAACAGTTATTTACTGTGATTAGTTGTACTGACATTAGTAATATTTGTTTTAGCAATATTAGTGCTATTTCAAAACCCTGAAGCAATATTACTAGTGATTAGAGCTTAAGTACACAGAAGCGATATGACCAAATCTTATATCACAATATGAGTAATTTTATTTAATGGTAACGATATATATCACAATATAGTTATTTTTGCTTTAAATAAGGTCTTTATGATATAAAAATGTTTGATACCATAGAAATTTAATAATTATTGTCACCAGTGTCAATATCACAAAAAACTAAAACTAACCTAAAAAACAAAAAACAACTCAAGTTCAATGAAGACAAGGAAACAGTCAGCGATTAAAAAAAGAATAAGAAACGAATTACAAGCAATAGGACAAAACATTGTATAAAGTAATCAAATTTATAAAAACACTGCATATTCTTCACTGTGTAAATTAAATCTATATTTTTTCTTATTAAAGTTACAAAAGTGATTTAGTCAAGAGCAGTGAGAGATTTTCTCTTTTGTTGTCTGATTAACATGAATGACAGACAGCAGGAATATTAGACTGCTGTCACTTTAAGAGCTGCCCGGGTCCAATATACTGTTACACATGTGTTTTCTTTCTTAGCTGTTCGCTTTCACTTAAGAGCTAAATTACTGTGTTTATGAGGATATTTGCAAAGACGGGCATTTTGACACATACAAGTGTGTGTGTATTTAACCGTTCAAGGCCTATAAAGCTGCAAATCTCTCTGACAGCGCTCAGAAACAGTCTATCAAACAGTGCTCAGCGCATATAGCGAAATGAGTTCTCTTTCGCTGCTGATTGCGCTTTAACGGCTTAAAATCACTTGTTTTTAAACCGCAATGCTTAAAAACGTGTGCAAACGATACGTTTTCATGACCACGTAGCACAGCAACGTCAGGTGAGCTTGTAACCGCGATAGAGACTGGATAGAGTCCAAAATCTCAACCGGTTCACAAATTTCTACCGGTATATCGCCACCCCTATGCTAAACTGTGTAAAATATAAATAAAAGCAATGGACAAGCCCAACTTCAAAACTAAACAGTATACTGTATATATATATATTAGGGATGTAACGATTAACCGCGAGCCGGTTGAAAATCGATTCAAATATGTAACGATTCAAATCGGTTGAGATGCTAAACAAATCGCGATTCATTTAGGGGTAGGAGTTTATATGAATGTATGTCTGGGGGGAACTTACTGTCTTCAGAAAAGTTTAGATGGTATTTTTTTTATTCATCTTGCCTCTGTATAATGCATATTAAAAGTTCATAAGTGCAGCGCTGCTTTGTTTACAG